TCTGGGTGCTGTAGTTTGGTCCTGTGTTTGGTCTGGGTGCTGTAGTTTGGTCCTGTAGTTTGGTCTGGGTGCTGTAGTTTGGTCTGGGTGCTATAGTTTGGTCCTGTAGTTTGGTCTGGGTGCTGTAGTTTGGTCCTGTAGTTTGGTCTGGGTGCTGTAGTTTGGTCCTGTAGTTTGGTCTGGGTGCTGTAGTTTGGTCTGGTGCTATAGTTTGGTCCTGTAGTTTGTCTGGGTCCTGTAGTTTGGTTTGGGTTGGTCTGGATGCTGTAGTTTGGTCTGGGTTGGTCTTGGTCCTGTAGTTTGGTCTGGGTTAGTCTGGGTCCTGTAGTTTGGTCTGGGTTGGTCTGAATGCTGTAGTTTGGTCTGGGTTGGTCTGGGTCCTGTAGTTTGGTCTGGATTGGTCTGGGTCCCGTAGTTTGGTCTGGGTTAGTCTGGGTCCTGTAGTTTGGTCTGGGTTGGTCTGAATGCTGTAGTTTGGTCTGGGTTGGTCTGGGTCCTGTAGTTTGGTCTGGATTGGTCTGGGTCCGTAGTTTGGTCTGGTTGGTCTGAATGCCGTAGTTTGGTCTGGGTTGGTCTGGGTCCTGTAGTTTGGTGGATTGGTCTGGGTCCGTAGTTTGGTCTGGGTTGGTCTGAATGCTGTAGTTTGGTCTGGGTTGGTCTGGGTCCTGTAGTTTGGTCTGGATTGGTCTGGGTCCTGGTTTGGTCTGGGTTGGTCTGGGTCCTGTAGTTTGGTCTGGATTGGTCTGGGTCCGTAGTTTGGTCTGGGTTGGTCTGGGTCCTGTAGTTTGGTCTGGGTTGGTCTGAATGCTGTAGTTTGGTCTGGGTTGGTCGGGTCCTGTAGTTTGGTCTGGATTGGTCTGGGTCCGTAGTTTGGTCTGGGTTGGTCTGGGTCCTGTAGTTTGGTCTGGATTGGTCTGGGTCCCGTAGTTTGGTCTGGGTTGGTCTGGGTCCTGTAGTTTGGTCTGGATTGGTCTGGGTCCGTAGTTTGGTCTGGGTTGGTCTGGGTCCTGTAGTTTGGTCTGGATTGGTCTGGGTCCGTAGTTTGGTCTGGGTGGTCTGGGTCCTGTAGTTTGGTCTGGGTTGGTCTGAATGCTGTAGTTTGGTCTGGGTTGGTCTGGGTCCTGTAGTTTGGTCTGGTTGGTCTGGGTCCGTAGTTTGGTCTGGGTTGGTCTGGGTCCTGTAGTTTGGTCTGGATTGGTCTGGGTCCCTGTTTGGTCTGGGTTGGTCTGGGTCCTGTAGTTTGGTCTGGTTGGTCTGGGTCCCGTAGTTTGGTCTGGGTTGGTCTGGTCCTGTAGTTTGGTCTGGATTGGTCTGGGTCCAGTTTGGTCTGGGTTGGTCTGGGTCCTGTAGTTTGGTCTGGTTTTGAATAGTTTTGTTGTTTCATTATTGTTGTTTTTTTTTATTTTTGTATTTGATGTGATAGTAGATCTTGTACAGTAGATGGTGGTGGTTGTGGTGGTTGTGGTTGTTGTTGGTAGGTGGTGGTGGTTGTTGTTGATAGGTGGTGGATGGTGGTTGTTGTTGATAAGTAGTGGTGGTTGTTGTTGATAGGTAGTGGTGGTTGTTGTCATTGTTGTTGATAGGTGGTGGGTTTGATAGGTGGTGGTGGTTGGTGGTGGTGGTTGTTGTTGATGGGGAGTGGTGGTTGTTGTCATTGTTGTTGATAGGTGGTGGTTGTTGTTGTTGATAGGTGGTGGTGGTTGTTGTCATTGTTGTTGAATGGTGGTTGTTGTTGAAGGTGGTGGTGGTTGTTGTCATTGTTGTTGATAGGTGGTGGTTGTTGTCATTGTTGTTGATAGGTGGTGGTTGTTGTTGTTGTTGATAGGTGGTGGTGGTTGTTGTCATTGTTGTTGATAGGTGGTGGTTGTTGTCATTGTTGTTGATGGGTGGTGGTTGTTGTTGTTGATGGGTGGTGGTGGTTGTTGTCATTGTTGTTGGATAGGTGGTGGTTGTTGTTGTTGATAGGTGGTCGTGTTTGTTGTCATTGTGGTTGTTGTTGATAGGTTGTGGTTGTTGTTGAAAGGTGGTGGTGGTTGTTGTCATTGTTGTTGATAGGTGGTCGTGTTTGTTGTCATTGTGGTTGTTGTTGAAAGGTGGTGGTGGTTGTTGAAAGGTGGTGGTGGTTGTTGTCATTGATGTTATCGTCATTTTTATACAATATATTGATGTTTTTATTCTTTAATTACTCTTTCTTTGCCTTTCGTCAATTTCCTCTGCAGGTAAAATTTCCCAAAGAATAATATTTTTTTCATATTATTCCTTCCGAGAATATTGTCATCAAATCCTTCATATACAAGTATAGTACAGGATCCAACATGTCTAATGGTAGTAAGATTATTAGTTTTGTCTCGTTCCCTTTGTCTTGCGATAAAAGACTATAATTGAGTCCACAAAAATTTACATTAAGAATTACAGTCCACTAAAACTATTTATCACTAGATCTAATTATGACAAAGTTTCAATCTCATTTTTTTATTTATTTGTTTTATATAAATTCGCTTTAGTTGTGTATATTATAGTGAGTCAACAATTAAATATGTATTTTTTTTTTATATCTTCATTGTAAGATTCTGTGACTTGAAAACTATTGTATGTTCCTGGGATAAAGTTTGTCTAGCGTGTGTTTTTATTACCTTCTCACTCTTTCTTCTCCTTCTCTCACTCTTTTCTTCTCCTTCTCTCACTCTTTTCTTCTCCTTCTCTCACTCTATATTCTTTAGGGCATCTCACACAACTTGCCTCCAGCCGCCATTGTCTGTGTGTGTGTGTGTGTGTGTGTGTGTGTGTGTGTGTGTGTGTGTGTGTGTGTGTGTCAGGCTGACTCCCTTCTCTTATTGACATCAGTAATCCACCTGCCCCTCTTCCATCCATCATTTTTCCTCTCCTTATTCCCCTTTTATTGGTAGATTTATGTGGTTCTCCTCGACGATGCAAAGTGAAATCGAGTCATCAGAAAATACTTTGCAGAGAACCAATTTGTTATCTCTCTCTCTCTCTCTCTCTCTCTCTCTCTCTCTCTCTCAAACGAGCGAGAAAGAATGGAAATAAACGAAAGCAACAGAGACGAGAAGAGTGTAGTAAAAAGATAAAGAGAAAAGAGAGAGAAATTTAGCAAGTATCGGATGCTGTAAAGAAGGAAAGAGAGGGACACACACAAAGAGACAGAGAGAGAGAGAGAGAGAGAGAGAGAGAGAGAAAAGTGCTGCAGGAAGTAAATCTGGGAACCTAAGCCTAGGATCTCACGCGACAGTAACCATTAAAAGTATAATTTGTTGATAGATGGTTCGAGGCTTTCCCGCCCTTGTTTGATCCACGCTACCCATTTGTTGTGTAAACCTGTGATGTAGCTCTCTCTCTCTCTCTCTCTCTCTCTCTCTCTCTCTCTCTCCTTATAAGCCTCACGCTCCAGATTGTCAACACACTTACGTACCTCTATGGAAACTCGGCATTGGGTGTGCCAACTTGACAATAACAGCTGACTGGCACTCTCTGTGTGTGTGCTGGTTGAGGTATACCTATGAAACTTGTCCGGGTTCTATCAAAACATCTCCTTGCCCCTTGTGAGAGGAAATGAGAAGGGAGGGGGGAGAGGGGAGAGGCAGTGTAGAAGGAAGAGGGGAAGGAGGAAGGGACGACATGACAGGAGAAGCGTGATAAGAGGATGGACAGAGGAAGACAGATAAGAAGGTAACAACACACCAATAACTTATCAGATCATATGAGAAACGAATATGGATGTTCGTCGGTCTATAAACTCTTTAACTCACACGTACGGTAGGAACGAGTGGCGGAGAAGATCTGGTAAAACACTTATAAGAACGTGTAGGGGCACCTTAGGAACGTTTTGAAGACTCGGGGAACGTGTATGATCAGAACGAGTGGAAAGGGGTGGTGGTTCTGGTAATGCACTAATAACGTGTTAAGGACGGCATAAGAACCTAGTAAGGCATCCAGAATCGTGTATGAATAGTTTAAGAACGTACTAAAGGCGCCAGGAACGTGTATGGACAGTGTAAGAACGTCAGCTTCCCAAATCCCTCAAGGAAGGAACTGAGATGAGGTGGCGCAGGGAAAGATGTAAACACGCTGGGTCACTCGCATTAATCCTCATCTGCAGGTTTAACATGGTAGGGGTGTGGTGGCTCTCCCTCGCCTGCTGTTCATTTATATTTGTTACTTGACTGTATTAATAACTAGTCTCCCTCTCTCCCCCTCCTTCCCTCCCCCTCCCCTCTATCCCTCTCACTTCCTCCATCCCTCTCACTTCCTCCCTAACTTCCTTCCCCCTCCCTCAATCCTCCCTCCCTTAACTTCCTTCTCCTCTTTCCTTCCCCTCCTCCCTCCCTAATCCTTTGTAGCTTGTTATGCAACCCTGAGAACAGGCCTGGAGGGGTATGTGTGTGTATATACTGCTAGTGTTTAGTGTGTGGGAGGAGGATTTTTCAGTGTATGTTGATGCTCGTATGGGTTTAATGTGAGTAAGTGATGTGTGTGCGTACGTAAGTGTGTACACATGCGAGAGAGAGAACCGTGTTTACCTGTGAGTGTGTGTGAACGGGGAAGTACTATACTGTAACACGATAGCAATAAAACCTGAGAACATCTTGCAGGAACTGCTGATAGCGCGCGCGCCACTCTTTCCCTCCTGCCCTCCCCTCACAGTCTCTCCTTCCTTCCTCCCTCCTCCTCCCTCCACCCCCTCCCTCACAGTTCCCCCCTCCTCCTCCCCTCCCCCCTCCCTCCCCCTCCAGCCCTCCCTCACAGTTCTCCCCCTTAACCACCCCCATCCACCCCTCCCATAACCCACCAAAGCTCCCTCCCTCCTTCCCATACACCAAAGCTCCCTCCCTCCTCCCTCCTCCCACCTTCCCCCCTCCTTCCCCACACTCAGTCCCCCTCCTCCCTCTCCCACCTTCCCTTCCTCTTTCCCATACACTCACAGTTCCCCCTCCGTTCTCACGCCACAGGACACTAATCACTCCCCTTCTCTCTCCTCACAGGGTTCCTCAACACCAACGAGAACCCTTACCTGCGCTCCATCACCAATTATGGCCTCATGGACCAGATCGCGGCGCTGCACTGGCTCAAGGAGAACATCGCCGAGTTTGGTGGAGATCCTGAGAACGTCACCATCTTCGGCCACGGCACCGGGGCGGCCTGCATCAACTTCCTCATGACCTCGAAAGCCGTGCCCAAGAGTGAGTGCTCTCTCTCTCTCTCTCTCTCTCTGTCTCTCTCTGTCTCTCTCTCTCTCTCTCTCTCTCTCTTATAGCGTTTATTATTATTATTATTATTATTATTATTATTATTATTATTATTATTGTTACGACTACTGTGGTGATGCTGTGTATTATGAAACAACAGCGGTAAACCTGCAGATAGACATTTGGGGTCTTCTTGTAGTGAAGACCTTAACAAAACAAAGCTATTAACAGCAGTAGGAGAGAGAGGAGTGTTTCCTTCTGGCTCCGCTGCCGCTTGTTTGTAATTGATAGATATATGGATATTTATTCGGGATAAACAGTATATTATTACCTTTAGTATTTCATTTAGTTTTGTTTTAGTTATTTTTTTTTTCAATATTTCATTTATAGTTTATGATTTTTTTTCTCTTTTTCTCAACTTTTTAACTCTTGATATGTTTCTTTTAGTATTTCTTTTAATATTCAGAATTTAGTTTAGCATTTCGGATAGTTTCTTTTAAGTCTAGTTATTTTAACATTTTCCGTTACATCATGAACATTCTAGATATTTTTAACATTATTTGTCTTTTAACATTCCAATCATCTTTGTTTTATTTACTGAATATAATTTGCTTATTGTTTGTATGTATGTCTTGTTTTGTAACTTTTGATATTGATTTACGAAAAGGAAAAAAAAAACACCCACAAATAATATATATATAATATAAACTATATATTTTACCCGGTAGAGGAAATTCTTTTATGGTGTGGTTTCCGGCAGCCATAACTTGTTTACCGAAAATCGGTTTATACTCCAGTAATCCTCCTCCCCCCACCCACTCACCCCACCCACCACCTCACCCACTCACCCCCACCCACTCACCTCACCCACTCCACACTCACTCACCCCCACCCCTCCCACCCCACCCCCTACCCTGAAGTAAGCGAGTAATTGGAGTTAATATTCTTTGAGAAAAAAAAATACGTTATATATTCTACAAATTATATAAAATCGGACGAAAGAAATAGGAAATATGTTTTTATTTATTTCCGACAGGTATGTATAAAGAATAGGTCGACATTAATAGGAGGTTGCTGAAAAAATGCCCCAGGGTTCCGATAATGCTGAGGATGCCAGTCAAGGCTTCTCTGACTGCCAAAAATGCCCCAGGGTTCCGATATGCTGAGAATGCCAGTCAAGGCTTCTCTGACTGCCAAAAAATGCCGAAAAATGCCAGTCAAGGCTTTTCTGACTGCCAAAAAATGCCCCAGGGTTCCGATAATGCTGAGGATGCCAGTCAAGGCTTCTCTGACTGCCAAAAAATCCCCCAGGGTTCCGATATTGCTGAACTGAATCCACTTGTAGACTCGGAACTGACCGGAGTTTCCCTTAGCACACCACACAGCATTCTTGTAAACACCATCGCCTTCCGCTCGTCTTTTGTTTACATACTGTTTTTAAGTCTGTTGTTTTCGTCACCTTCTGTCAATTGTTTTTGTCACCTTCTGTCTATTGTTTTCGTCACCTTTCTATTGTTTTCGTCACCTTCTGTCTATTGTTTTCGTCGCCTGTCTATTGTTTTCGTCTCCGATCTATTGTTTTCCTCACCTGCTGTTGTTTCGTCACTTGTCTGTTTTCGTCACCTTCTGTCCATTGTTTTCATCACCTGTCTATTGTTTTCGTCACCTGTCTACTGTTTTCGTCACCTGTCTATTGTTTTCGTCACCTATCCATTGTTTTCTTGACCGTTATTGATCAATCTTCTAATCTTATCGTCTTTCTTTCATCAATCTTTTATTTACTGTTTTCATCTCTGTCTTTGATCAAACATCTCCCGTATGTTCTTTTCATCTTTTTTCTTGGATCAATTATCCTTTTATCTACTTTTACATCACTTATATTGATCTAACTCCTCTTATCTACTCTTCCGTCTTTTACCAAACATCATGTATTTCTTCTTAATTATCTTAACATCGCGTCAATTTATATAAGTAAAACAAAACAATTAAGACTCCATCCCTTCTCACTCTGAATCCCATTTTCTCTAATTAGTGACGAAGATTCTCACCAGATGGCGGGGTCGGCGGCGGTGATGGCCTAGTCTTGACACTTTTGAGAAGCCTATTTAAACCCCTTCTCTTTCTCCTCTCCATCTTACTACTTTGGTAATTTAATTAATTAGGAAAGTTAAGGGAGTGTCAGGTATGCGCCTGAGCCACCGCCAAGACAACGTGCATTAAACTGATGGGATGATCACTCCTTGGGTGGCTTAAGACCCTCCGAGGGTACACGTGGGTTATGACGGTATAAAGGTGTGGGACCATTAGTTTATGTGGCTTATGGTGATGGTATAGTGTGTGTTGTCATATGTGGGTTATGAAAGTATATAGAACAGTGGTGTCATATGTGGGTTATGCCAGTATAAGAGCATGTGGTGTCATGTTATCCACTGTAGTACGAGTTTGTTAAATAATTCAGTGACAGTACCAATTTATACGAGATCACTATATAATGGATACCACATTTATCAACACAAACACGAGTATTTTGTGGTGTGTGGTGAGGCATTGTAGTACATCCTGGTGTGAGTTAGAGGTTCACATACACCAGCGTCATTCATTCATCCTTCCACTGTTCAAATTTTATCTCTTTCTATTTACTTCTTTGCTGGTTAATGTTTCTTCAAAACCATTCTCCTTTTATTTACTAGTTGTCTTTTTTATGTTTAATTTTCTTAGGTTCAAAACATCGTGACTATTTTTTTTCCCTTAGGACGCGACTCGAAGGCTGAAGCGAATCATTCCTGATTTTTGTGAGGGTCCTGCATTGTTTACATTTGTCTGGCTGGGGGATAGGGACGTATTATAAATTTTACATTTTACTTTTTAAGAATTTCAGTTCATCTACTCTATCACTGGAATTTAATAATGGGAATGAGAGGATAAGAATGTAGTGATCTTTTTTTTCCGTTTTTGTTTACCTCAAGAAATAATTTCATATCAACTTATCTGGTCACTGGAATTTAGTACAAACAAAACACACACACACACACACACACACAGAAAGTTTTTATGTCTGTACAGAAAGTTCTATGTCTCGTATTTGTTTTATTATTTACGAACTAGTTTAATTACTAACATTGTTTCGCGTTTAATGACCTTAATTGTTGAGGCGCAGAGCTGAAATAACATTATAACATCAACGTCAGACCGTGTCCTTCAGAAGTACCGTCAGCTGTTCCACATCAAACACTCGGTAGTAAAGGGAAAAGAACTCATTTCTTTTGTCATTACTATAGCTTCACTCCCAGAAATTAAGATAAACTGAAGCCTTTAGCGTGAGGGGAGAGGAGGGGGAGGGGAGAGGAGGGGAAGATTATGTTTTGGTAATTTTCTTATTTCCATTCTCCCGATACCACTCTATCCCTCTCTCCTCCCCCTTGATCCCCTCTTCTCTCCCCTCCCCTTCGATCGATCCCTCTCTCTTGCTCCTCTTCTCTCATCTTCTATCCCTCCTTCCCTCCCTCCCTCTCTTCCTTCCTTCCTTCCCTCTCCCCCTCCCTTCCTCCCTCCCTCTCCCCACTCCTCCCTCCCCATTCCTCCCTCTCCCCCACTCCTCCTCCCCCATTCCTCCCTCCCCTACTCCCACTTTCTCTCCAACTCCTTTCGAGGTGTTGCGTGTGTCCTTAGGTTTAGAGTTAAGTTACTCCCAGACTTAATATACCTGAGCTGATGAATATGATGACCTAACCTTTACCTGATGACGATGATGACCTGAAAACGAGGAAGACGTGATGACGAAGAGGGGGGGAGAGGGGGGCAGGTGAGCCACGCATCTCGGTCAATTAACAGTAATTGGATGGTCGTTTGCACCTCCAGGGATCAGGTAAGTGAGGGAGCAAGCTGCCAATATAGTTAATTAACTCACTAACTACCTGCGCTCCACATTGGCCCCCGGAGAGGCTACCTTTTTTTCCCCCTGATGCTCGTAAAGGCTTCGTTTATATATTAACACACTTAGTTAGATATACAGTATATATATATATATAGTGTTTTTATAAGTAAGTGTTTTTAAGTGTGTTAGGTTAGGTTACTTTATAGTTGAGGAAGAGAAGGTGATCAAGTGCAGTGCCGGACACGCTGGTTTCTTGTACCTGTATATCAAAGGCTTATGAATTACTGTACTACACCCACTTCTATGAGATATTATTTTGTTCAATGAATTTCTTCCTCTCTCTGCCAACTCTCGCTGCCATGTAATACAGAATAATTAGTTTAGCTACACATTACACTAGTTAATATTTTCACTAGTTACTATATTTCAAGAGATATTAGAAAACAAAGTTAACCAAGACGCGTTCATTGGGTGAGTTATGCCACAGCTAAAAAACATTCCTTTCGCTGTAAAACTTCCCGCAGCCAGGTCTGGGAGGGCGGGAGGGAAGTGTGCTGACTAAACTCGGTCCTGCCAGAAAATAAAAATCAATCTTCAAAAAAAAAAAAAAGTGAATAGAAAGGAAAGAAAAATAAAGAATGAGAACGGACCCGGTAAAGCCTGGCGCGTTATATACAAAATAAAAGTCAAATTCGCTTTGTCGACCGAAAAACAAAAAACTGGAGCAGTTTCCCGTAAACACAAAAAACCCACGCTGAAAACCCTTGACTCTGAAAATACGCAAATGCATAAACAGACGAAAATAATTATGTAACAAAAGATTACAAATTGTTGTTGCTGTATATTTTTCTTGTGGAGTTAAGAAAAAAATTACAGTTATTCTAGTTTTTTCACATAGTTAATGAGGTGTGTTGTTGTTGTTGTTTTCTGTTTCTCTGTGAGGGAGAATTGTTCTATTTTAATACTTTTTGTTATTCATAATATTATCTCACCAGGTAATAGTTTAATCACACACACACACACACACACACACACCTGGGCTTCAATAACAGTATCGTGCCACATCTGACCCCCTGAATTGAAGTCAACACGACCCGAGCGTGTTTTAAACCGAGGGGGAGGGAGGTGGGGGGGATGACCTCAGCGGGTGATTTAATCCAACCAAACCAACCATAACGTTCTGACAATGTGTTCGACTTTGGCTGACATTAGGTTGACCTCGAGCATATCCGAAGGGCGGAAATAAATGGCTCTGCACTGTCGTGGTTGATCCCTTAGATAAAGATATAAAAAAAGTTCCCATCTGGTTGACTAATAGTAAATGTGGTTGACGACGACTTATAAATGTGGTTGACGACGACTTATAAATGTGGTTAACGACGACTTTTTATATGTGGTTGGGATGAATTAACGGTTCATTAATTTTTATGGTTGATTAATCTGCTTTTCACTATTGACTGACAACTTTCCTACCACCGTGAATACCGAGTTTGTCACACTATATTGGCCTGAGGATTACTACTGCTGGTGACCCACTCATCCCTCCAACACACACGGGCGAGAGAGAAAGTTCTATTCTGTTTCTGACGTTTTAATCAATAAGGATTTAAAACAAGAGTGGACATACAGGATTTATAAATGGCGTTTGTTTTTGTGGTGACGTAAAGATTGTGTGTGTGTGTGTGTGTGTGTGTGTGTGTGTGTGTGTGTGTGTGTGTGTGTGTGTGTGTGTGTGTGTGTGTGTGTGTGTGTGTGTGTGTGTGTGTGTGTGTGTTGTGTGTGTGTATGTGTGTGTGTGTGTGTGTGTGTGTGTGTGTGTGTGTGTGTGTGTGTGTGTGTGTGTGTGTGTGTGTGTGTGTGTGTGTGTGTGTGTGTGTGTGTGTGTGTGTGTGTGTGTGTGTGTGTGTGTGTGTGTGTGTGTGTGTGTGTGTGTGTGTGTGTGTGTGTGTGTGTGTGTGTGTGTGTGTGTGTGTGTGTGTGTGTGTGTGTGTGTGTGTGTGTGTGTGTGTGTGTGTGTGTGTGTGTGTGTGTGTGTGTGTGTGTGTGTGTGTGTGTGTGTGTGTGTGTGTGTGTGTGTGTGTGTGTGTGTGTGTGGCATTTATCTGTGTCTGTCTATAGGGCCAAACGTTATCTTTAAGGTAACTCCTGAATAATATACTGTAGGAAATACACTTCTGTTTGGAGTAATTAGGGCAAATTGTGGTGATGTTGGTAGTAGTGATGGTGGCAGGATGTGGTTGGAATAATAGTAGTGGTGGAAGAAAGTGGTTGGGTTAGTGATGGTGGTAGTGGAGATGATAGTGGGAGGAAGTGGATGGGCCAGAGGTGTTGGCAGCAGTGGTGTTGGCAGCAGTGGTAGGAAGAAGTGCTGGGTCAGTATAGGTAGTGATGGCAAGGGTGGTGGTAGGGGTGGTGGCAGAGGTAGTGATGGTGGTAGTAGTAAGAAATAGTTGACTAGTATATGTAGTAGTGGTGGTGGCAAAAGTGATGGGCTGGTATAGCTAGTGGTGATGGCGGTGGCATGGGTGGTGGTGGTGGCGGTGGCATGGGTGGTGGTGGTGGTGGCGGTGGCATGGGTGGTGGTGGTGGCAGCCAGACAGAGTGGTGGTTGTAGCCAGCATGTGCAGGTCTCTCCTACTTTACCTGACCCTCTACACTATTTACTGCTTATTACGACCTGCTCAACGATGCTGACGCCAGGGAGATTATTGCCTAAATTCTTGTGTGTTTTTGTAAAGAGAAGAGTGAATTAATTTTTGTATTTGTGTACCTGAGGTGTTTTTGTTCAAGTATTTTCTACCTGAGGTGTTTTTATTCAAGTATTTGTCGACCTGAGGTGTTTTTATTCAAGTATTTGTCTACCTGAGGTGTTTTTATTCAAGTATTTGTCTACCTGAGGTGTTTTTATTAAGTATTTGTCTACCTGAGGTGTTTTTATTCATGTATTTGTCTACCTGAGGTGTTTTTATTAAGTATTTGTCTACCTGAGGTGTTTTTATTAAGTATTTGTCTACCTGAGGTGTTTTTATTCAAGTATTTGTCTACCTGAGGTGTTTTTATTCAAGTATTTGTCTACCTGGGGTGTTTTTATTCAAGTATTTGTCTACCTGAGGTGTTTTTATTCAAGTATTTGTCTACCTGAGGTGTTTTTGTTCAAGTATTTTCTACCTGAGGTGTTTTTATTCAAGTATTTGTCTACCTGGGATGTTTTTATTCAAGTATTTGTCTACCTGAGGTGTTTTTATTAAGTATTTGTCTACCTGAGGTGTTTTTATTCAAGTATTTGTCTACCTGAGGTGTTTTTATTCAAGTATTTGTCTACCTGGGGTGTTTTTATTCATGTATTTGTGTATAGAAGGGTCTAAAATTTAATACTTATGATTGCAATAAGAACTAGATTTTACACCACATTTGTAGGGTAAGTCTTCAGTGTGTGGGATAAGATAGTCCCTCACTGTCTCGGACACTCACCTTAGGAATACTTAAAGTCCATCTGGCTCGGTCTTATTTATGTCCTGGCGTCCGTCCACGTATCCTTTCATTAGTCCACGTATCGTCTCGTCCGTCCACGTATCCTCTCATCCGTCCACGTATCCTCTCATCCGTCCACGTATCCTCTCATCCGTCCACGTATCCTCTCATCCGTCCACGTATTCTCTCATCCGTCCACGTATCCTCTCATTAGTCCACGTATCGTCTCATCCGTCCACGTATCGTCTCATCCGTCCACGTATCGTCTCATCCGTCCACGTATCGTCCCCATCCGTCCACGTATCCCTCCTCATTAGTCCACGTATCGTCTCATCCGTCCACGTATCAAGTCTCATCCGGTCCACGTATCGTCTCATCCGTCCATCGCATCCACCTCATCCGTCCACGTATCCTCTCATCCGTCCACGTATCGTCTCATCCGTCCACGTATCGTCTCATCCGTCCACGTATCGTCTCATCCGTCCACGTATCGTCTCATCCGTCCACGTATCGTCTCATCCGTCCACGTATCGTCTCATCCGTCCACGTATCGTCTCATCCGTCCACGTATCGTCTCATCCGTCCTTTAACTTGAAGAAATAACTATTAATTTTACCCAAATTTGGTACGTAAAACTAGCTTAAAAAAATATCCTTACGATTATATGTGATGTAATATGACACAACGGACGAACGATTTTGACAACCCTACCGAGACAACAGGAGTCACAGTGTTCATTTTGGAATTCATGGGAGCGAGTGAACTTCCTTGTAAAGATCTCAGATAAGTTTGACTCCGTATTTTGTGTGGTTTTTGTGCAGAGTTGTAGCCGTGTGTGTTTAACTAAAGCCCCCTAACGTTATACTCAAGTCAGAGTGTTGTCGTCGTTGTTGTCGTCATCGGTTTGTGGTCGTCGTCATCATCGGTCTGTGGTTATCGTCATTATTTTTGTTCTGTAGTCGTCTTCTTCATCGTTCTGTGGTCGTCGTCATCATGGGTTCTGTGGTCGTCTTCTTCATCGTTCTGTGGTCGTTATCATCGTTCTGTGGTCGTCATCATCATCCTTCTGTGGTCGTCTTCATCATCGTTCTGTGGTCGTCGTCATCATCGTTCTGTGGTCGTCGCCATCATCGTTCTGTGGTCGTCATCATCGTTCTGCGGTCGTCGTCGTCATCGGTCCGTGGTCGTCTTCATCATCGCCCTGTGGTCGTCATCGTTATCGTTCTGTGGTCGTCATCATCATCGTTCTGTGGTCGTCATCGTTCCAGGTCGTCATCATCATCGTTCTGTGGTCGTCATCATCATCGTTCTGAGGTCGTCATCATCATCGTTCTGTGGTCGTCATCATCATCGTCTAGTAATATCATCATCGTTCTGTGGTCGTCATCATCGTTCTGGGTCGCTCATCATCATCGTTCTGTGGTCATCATCATCAGTTCTGGTGGTCGTCATCTCTATCGTTCTGTGGTCGTCATCATCATCGTTCTGTGGTCATCATCATCGTTCTGTCGTCGTCATCATCGTTCTGTGGTCGTCGTCATCATCGTTCTGTGGTCGTCATCATCATCGTTCTGTGGTCGTCATCATCATCGTTCTGTGGTCGTCATCATCATCGTTCTGTGGTCACCATCATCGTTCTGTGGTCATCATCATCGTTCTGTCGTCGTCATCATCGTTCTGTGGTCGTCGTCATCATCGTTCTGTGGTCGTCGTCATCATCGTTCTGTGGTCGTCGTCATCATCGCTCTGTGGTTGTCGTCACTGACATTAAATGATTATGACTCTTTAATATATATTAGTTTAGCCAGTAATGGTGGAGTAATCCTTTCACCCAGTCATTGCCCTCGTTCATACAGCCTATAAATTTACCCGCCCTCTGAAAATCTTTCTGTGTTCACTTTTTGTTTGGTGTTCAATGAAGTTCACCGAGAGTTCAAATTGTGTGAGCCTTGTGTTCATCTACCCTTCATATGTTCAGTTTGTATTCATCTTTTGTTTACCCCGTGTTTACCTTATTGTTATTGTGTTTAGCTGTTTACATCATATTCACTCACTCCCACCACAACATACTAACTCACTCACTCCCAGCACAACATACTAACTCACTCACTCCCAGCACAACATACTAACTCACCCACTCCCAGCACAACATACTAACTCACTCACTCCCAGCACAACATACTAACTCACTCACTCCCTGCACAACATACTAACTCACTCACTCCCAGCACAACATACTAACTCACTCCCTGCACAACATACTAACTCGCTCACTCCCAGCACAACATACTAACTCACTCACTCTCCTCCTGACAGATCCGCGACTCTTCCACCGAGCCGTCCTGATGAGCGGGTCCTCCCTGGCGCCGTGGTCACTGGTACATGATCCAATGAAGTACACGAGGCAGCTGACACACTCAATCAACTGCTCCCACACCCCGCTAGGAGACGAACTGAAAAAGTGTCTCAGGACGAAGAACCTCCACTTGATCATGAAGGCACAGGTTGAGGTGAGTGAGGTGAGTGAGATGCTGCTGCTGTGTGTAGGGGTGGGGGTGTTTTTGAGTGTGGGGGGGGGGTGTAGTGGAGATGTTATGAATACATTCCATAGTGACACATGGGGAGGATGGTGAGACCGCCCTTGGTATATATTATAAGACCCTGAACTAAATATAAGACCTGTGGGGAGGATTATAAGACTCAAGGATTGGGGGGGGAGGGAGGATTAGTTAAGGATCCACTTATATCGTAATCAGATTAGCATTCAGGCTACTTAAACAATTAGCTGAAAGAGACGCTGGTGTTATGAGCTGAAATTTATTCCTGGAGTTAATAATTTATTTTTTTCTCTCGATTTTGTAATGAAAAGAAAAATATTTTGTAAGTTAAGATGAAAATTTATGTTAATTAAGAAAAAATAATTGCGATTTATGAAAGAAATTAGTTGTGAAATTTGTAATTATATGATAAGATAATTACAAAGAAGAAGAATATAAGGAATTGTGATGATAATGTGAGTTAGTGAATGATGCTGGTTTATGAAGCATCAACACCAACAACAATAATAATAAAAACAACAACACCACAAATAAATATGAGAATGCAAACAGAAAAAAACAAAATAGTGAAAATAATAATAAAGAAACTTAAAAAAAACACGAAAAATGCAACAGAATAATACAAGGAGATACTAAAATACATTAAAGGTAATTATGGATTTTTGCAATAAGGAAAACGAGACAATAATAAGATAATAATAAGATAAGAAGAAGAGAAACTATAATAAAAAAGACGAAACAAAAGTAAAAATACGGAAAAATACGACTAAATTATATATAAAAAAAATAACTAAATAAATAGGTTGAAATAAAAAATAATAATAATTAAAGTTTGAGGAAATAATTCTCACGTACAAAGAGGGAGAGAAGTGAGAAATAAGGGAGGGATATGAGTGAGAAATAAGGGAAATAATTCAGAAATTCGCTAGACGAGATGGCCGGATGAAGGTCTCCTTATTTCCACATGAAGATTTATGTTGATATATTACGAGAAAAAAGTAAAAGAGGATTAGGATGAAGGGAGGAGAAAAGAATGAATGGAGGAGGAGGAGGAGGGGGTGTAGGAGGAGGAGGGGGGGAAGGGGTGTAGGAGGAGGAGGGATTGCAGAGGAGGATATATGAGAGGGGTGGGAGGTGTAGTCGAAGGGTAGGGAATGAAGGAGACGGGAGGGGTGTGAGAGGAAGGGAGAGGTTTGAGAGGAAGGGAGAGGTTTGAGAGGAAGGGAGAGGTTTGAGAGGAAGGGAGAGGTTTGAGAGGAAGGGAGAGGTGTAAGAGAATGGGAAGGTCTAGAAATTGCCAAGTGTGTAAGGAAATAGTGACCTGGTATAAGGTAATGGCTGGTAACGTCACCTGTAGCTAATGGTGACGTCACATGATTTCGAGACTCGGTCCAATATCCGTCAAGCCTGGACCCACACCCTGACCACCCAGTACAGTACTTCCTCGGTCGTCCCCTTCACTACAGGTGTCAATAACACAGTTAAGATGTACAACAAATACAAAACAATTGAATATTACAAAAAAAAGTTAACTGATGACGTTTAGTAACTACACAAACACAGCTAATTACCTGTAATAAATTAATGCTATTAATTAAAGCTAACCATCGTCACATTTAAAAAAAATCATTAGCAGTGCTTTAAGGTCATTAATGAAATACTAAATACATCATTAATTCACGGTCTTACATCATGGGTATTTCACCTGAGTCAATACGAAAGACAACACAGGTAGTTGACTTAAACTGAAACATCAGAATAACACAAGCTCTACCTTAAGCAGATTTGTTTTGAAAATAGTGATTTTATCTAGTTTTTTCTTATCCATGTTTTCATTGTGGATATATATATATATATATATATATATATATATATATATATATATATATATATATATATATATATATATATAAGATCAAGTGTATAGACCCAAGATCCTGATAAATTTTTCTCATCTCCTCCGGAGGTAGAAGCCGCCGAAATTAACTGAAAATTGCGGCAGATTGGTTATCGATCAGCCGGGATTGAATTTCCTGGTAAATAAGTATCACCTAAAGAGCGCCCTCCTTCGCGCAGGAAGAGGCACTCGCCAGCCTTCTCTCTCTCCCCCGGGTCGTATACCAAATTATCTCTGTTTTTCCTCAATTTCGCAATATTTGGGTGAGTGTTACACCTGATAATGGAAACTTTACAAAAAATAAACCATCTTTGTTTTAAAGTAGGATGAGGCTCTCTCTCTCTCTCTCTCTCTCTCTCTCTCTCTCTCTCTCTCTCTCTCTCTCTCTCTCTCTCTCTCTCCCCCCCTCCCCTCTCTCCCCTCCCTCCTCCCTCCCTCCCTCCCTCCTCCCTTGAATCCGGATATTACGGTCCCTGCTTATAATGACATTAAATAAAAGCGCCCTGTGTCAGAGTGGAGCGTCTTGGTGATGGTGCCTCACGGGGTGTGTGGAGGGGAGGACTCTGGCGGCGTGTTGGTGTACTGTACTCATGCTGGGGGAAAGTTGTTTACGTTCACACACACGAGAAACAGCAACACTTGAAGGCACTTAAGATTAATCCCAGTAATTGGTGAAGCTGGCAGCTGGTGTGGTTTTTCATCAACACCAACCACGCGCGAGCTACTGGTGCTTCACTTGGTGCTGCTGGTGTAAGGGTGATGGTGTACTGGTGTGATCGCGTGGTAGTACTGGTGTAGTGTGGTGGTATTGGTGTAGTAATGGTGTGGGTATTGGTCAATAGTGTGGTATTGATGTAGTGTGGTGGTATTGGTGTAATAATGGTGTGGTATTGGTGTAGTGTGGTGGTATTGGTTGTGGGATGGTGTGGTATTGATGTATTGTGGTGGTATTGGTGTAATGATGGTATGGTATTGATGTAGTGTGGTGGTATTGGTGTGGTATGGTGTGGTATTGATGTAGTGTGGTAGTATTGGTATAATAATGGTGTGGTATGGTGTGGTATTGATGTAGTGTGGTGGTATTGGTATAATAATGGTGTGGTATGGTGTGGTATTGATGTAGTGTGGTGGTATTGGAGTTTCACTAATGTTGCTGGTGTGACGAGGTACCGACTTGAACCTTCAAATTGCTCTCAAAGATATAATGAGCCAGGAAGACTCACACACATTCTCGCTCGCCTCTGTACAGTATACCCTTGAGCTTTTGTTGTTAGCTAAGGGCGCGTGTTAAGAGGTGATGCGTCTGTCCGATACTGTTTCTGGAGCCTGTGTTGGTTTGGGTAAAATAAACGTTTTTTTTTTTTTTAGTGTGGCTAATGGATTATATATTAGTTTTATCACGCATTAATCCTAAACTTCTTAATGTGCACAAATTGGATGTATTTGGGACACACACACACACACACACACACACACACACACACACACACACACACACACACACACACACACACACACACACACTTGAAAACAGTAGCAGCCAATTTTGAAAACCCTCTATGATGATGTATTTAAGTGTTTCAGATGCTAGCCTAACCTAACCTAACCTAACCTAACCTAACCTAAACTCTCACTGAATCTTTAGTTTCTACGATAGTCAAAACTTTATGGAAATTAAGAAAACTATTCGTAGCTTCAGCGAGTCTATTATGGGTGTGCGTGCGTGCGTGCGTGCGTGCGTCCGTCCATCCGTCCGTGCGTATGTGTGTGTGTGTGTGTGTGTGTGTGTGTGGTGGGGGGGGAGCATTGTGTGTGGGGGCATTGTGTGTCTGCTGTGTTAATAGAGTGAGTTAGTTCCCAGTTCCTATAATACATTGGTACAGTTTGATAACTCTGTGGTGCGGATGGCAGGCCAGGCCGTCACCAAGTGGCGAGGATAGCAGGCCAGGCCGTCACCAAGTGGCAGGGATGGCAGGCCAGGCCGTCACCAAGTGGCAGGGATGGCAGGCCAGGCCGTCACCAAGTGGCAGGGATGGCAGGCCAGGCCGTCACCAAGTGGCAGGGATGGCAGGCCAGGCCGTCACCAAGTGGCAGGGATGGCAGGTCAGGCCGTCACCAAGTGGCAGGGATGGCAGGCCAGGCCGTCACCAGTGGCAGGGATGGCAGGCCAGGCCGTCACCAAGCGGTAAGGATGGCAGACGGTGGCTCATGAAGGAGGGGGAGATGGGTGCGGGCCGAGCACTTCATCTCCCCACCAGGCTGCTTGGTTCTGCTGATAAGATTTTCTCATCAGGCAGCGTGTATGGCGGGCGGGCACACCGACCACACACATGCATACACACAGCTCTATGGCGCAAAAGTTGGTTGCAAATCGTGTTAGTCGGGCACAGTGGCGCACGTGTGTGTGTGTGTGTGTGTGTGTGATTAAACAATTCCTTGATTAAACCAGAACATTAAAGATATTACGACCACTGGGTGAGGTTTAATCGTCACGGATATGGAGGTTGTTCATTCAATTTTAGAGATGTTGTGTGTGGTGTTGAGGGAGGGGGGTGTCTGAACACTCACACCACCACCTGCCCTCACACCACCACCACCTGCCTTTACAGTCTGGCACATACTACGTTGTATTCACTTACAGCAGACACAGCAGAGAGAGGTCTTCTGACGTCGTCCTGAGCGGCTTACAAGTTAACACCTTTGAGTAACTCGTATCAGATAAATATTGTTATAGAAATTAGGTTCTCAGTCAACTTTGACCAATAAAGTAAACTAAAGTCATCTAAAAGGTGTTACAATAGTATGAAAGAAATAGACAAATAGTGCCTACATCTTTTTTAATGTAATAAACAGGTGTATTCAAGAGTATTCTGTACGCAAATGAGTTAAATATTTTCATTTTAAAGCTCAGATGAGGAGAAATATTATTTTGTAGTTGGAGGTTTTACCAGGGATCTCACGACCACTGCAGACACACGAACGACGTGCGGCCACTT